ATTGGTTAGCTGGGTCAGTGTGTGTTGTGATTGGTTAGCTGGGCCAGTGTGTGCTGTGATTGGTTAGCTGGGCCAGTGTGTGTTGTGATTGGCACCACTCGGCGCCTGGTTGGGGTGCAAGTTTCAGTGTAAATATTGCGTCAAAATCAAATCCATTTCAGCGCGATTTAAACCCGGGTGATTGTAACCACTCTAAGTTCGTCTGCCTTGGCAAAGCTAGCTTGTCTCCGACATAGTGATAACGCTCGTTACCTTCTTTAGTGCAGCTCAACCAGGTCTCGTCCCATTTGTCGGTATTTGTGATACCACAAATCCCGGAAAATATGCGTTGTAGTCCAAACGAGTCGTTCGTTGTAGTTTTTGAAAAGTGATTTCTGTTAAATAAAATATCTCCTTTTGAATTGGACTTTGAGCTTTGTAACTTTGCAGATCTTTTTTATGCTCAAACAGCAACATTAGAGACTAACTAAAGTTGAAAAAGCATAATAGGACCCCTTTAAAGCATAGAGATGTTTTAATACTTTGCAGAATGTCAACGCACTGATTATGAAAGATTTCAGAATTTTGATTCTGTAAACAATGTTTTGAGCAGAAGAGCAGTTTTGTAGTCAAGTACCTGTACTGAATGAACTTAAGATGTGCAAGCTTCACATAACATGATCTACAGTACTTTTATACATTTAAATGTACAGTCAGGTCCATATATATTTGGACTCTGACACAATTTTCAAAATTTTGGCTCTGTATGCCACCAGATTAGAATTAAAATGAAACAATCAAGATGAAATTGAAGTGCAGATTTTAAGCTTTAATGCAAGGGGTTGAACAAAAATATAACATAAAATGCTTAGGAATTACAACCCTTTTTATACACAGCCCCCTCCTCTATTTTCAATGGCTCAAATGTAATTGGACAAATAAATATAATCATAAATACAATTTTCATTTTTAATATTTTGTTGAGAATCCTTTGCAGGCAATTACTGTCTTAAGTCTGGAAATCATGGACATTATCAGATACTGGGCTTCCTTTTTTTATGCTTTGCCAGGCCTTTACTGCAGCTGACTTCAGTTGTTGTTTGTTTGTGGGTCTTTCTGTATTTAGTTTTGTCTTCAGCAATTGAAATGCATGGTCAATCGGGTTGAAATCAGGAGATTGACTCGGCCATTGCAGAATATTCCACTTTTTTAGTTTCAAAAACTCCCGGGTTGCTTATGCTGTATGTTTTGGGTCATTGTCCATTTGTACTATGAAGCGCTGCCCAATGAACTTTACTCCATTTGGCTGAATCTGGGCAGAAAGTATATCCATATACACTTCAGAATTCATCCGGCTGCTTCTGTCTTCTGTCACGTCACCACTAAACACCAGTAACCCCGTGCCACTGGAAGCCATGCATGCTCATGCCATCACACTGCTCCACCATGTTTCACAGATGATGTTGTTTGCTTTGGATCATTAGCTGTTCCAAACCTTATCCATACTTTTTTCTTCCCGTCATTCTGGTACAGGTTGATCTTAATTTCAGACGTCCAAAGAATGCTTTTCCAGAAGTGGGTCTGGCTTTTTTAGATGTTGCTTGGCAAAGTCTAATCTGGTCTTGTTTGCACCTTGTGGTGAACCCTCTGTATTTGCACTTGTGAAGTCTTCTCTTGATTGTAGACATTGACAGTGACACGCCTACCTCCTGGAGAGTGTTCTTCTCTTGGTTGGATGTTGTGAAAGGGTTTTTCTTTACCATGGAGAGGATTCTTCGTTCATCCATCACTGTTGTCCTCTGTGGACATCCATGCATTTTTATGTTTCTGAGCTCACCAGTGCATTTTTTTTTTCTCAGAATGTTCCAAACTGTTGATTTGGCCACTCCAAATGTTCCTGCTATCTCTCTGATGGATTTGTTTTGTTTTTGAATCCTAACAATTGTCTGTTTCACTTGTATGGAGAGCTCCTTTGACCACATGATGTGGGTTTACAGCAACAGCTTCCAAATGCAAATGGCACACTTAGAATCAACTCCAGACCTTTTACCTGCTTAATTGATGTAGAAATAACGAAGGAATAGCCCACAACTGTCCATCAAATGGCTTTTGAGTCAACTGTCCAATTACTTATGTGCCCTTGGAAAAGGGGGGAGGTACATATTAAAGAGCTGTAATTCCTTAAGCTTTCCTCCAATTGTGATGAGAATACCCTCAAATTAAAGCTCAGAGTGTGCACTTTAAGCCCATATTCATTATATAAATGTAACTTGAATATGTTTTGGTCATCAGCTAAAATAATAAAAATTGTGCCTGTGTCCAAATATATGTGGACCTGACTGTATTTATCTGACAAATACTTTTATTTAAGGCAAACAGAACATGTTCTGAGAACAGATTATTATTTTCTCTATAGGAGACACAGCTAAGTTGAAAACCCTTATTTTAGCATAGTGGTTGATTACCAGGTGGTCCTTCACTGTCCTACAGACCAGGACACATAAGGATGCATTAGTGTTTACACCAGAACTTTTTGACTCCATTTGCATATGCATTTAGTGCTGTCCACTTGTGATGTAATTGCCTAAAACCGATATTAATATCGGATGCAAAAAAGATCTTAAAGAGTTATTAATTGAATATCAGGATCGTGGCTTTCTCTCCCTCTCAGTGTTTAGAACTCCAGGGGTATGTTCGGCCTCTGCTGGAGCTTCTAAATGGACTGAAGAAAGGGCGATTTGACAAAGGTGAGACAAAAGCAAACTGTTTCTTTGTGTGTCTAGGCTTAAACATCACTCTTTGTAAGGATATACAACAGCTGTAATTGGCCTGTAATAAACTGTATAGTTTAGAGTGTAGCAACCCTTTTATGTGTGTTGTTATTTATTTCTCTCTGTTCTCTTATTTTTTTGACTCTTTCATTTTTGTGTGTCTGTGCTTTCCTCTTATGTAACACTGACAAGGTGCAGCCCAAGGCCTTATTAAAACTAAATGTCAATTTACTTTATTGTTTTCAGTTATTGCATGTTTCAATACACAAGCGGAAAAACATCAGGCTGTGCAGGAAGTGATTTAATCTGACTCTTTCTGATGAATACTGAGATTGTATCAGTACATTTACTGCTTGTGATTGGCAGGTCTGAGCAGTTTTCAGCAGAGTGTTGCAATGGACAGAATTCAGAGGATTGTAGGAGTCCTGCAGAAACCACATATTGGGTGAGACAGTGTGAATATCAGTAAGAACTGTATTAGATGTTATTGAGATCATAACAGAATAAGCAAAAAGTTTGTTTTGCAGTATTTCAGAGTTGTTCGGTATAATCTTGTCTCTTTGTTTGCAAGTATTTATGACATTATCAGGGGTCCATCTTCTAAACAACATCTAAGCTTAATGCAACTTACGTATAAACATCAGAACAGAACTTTCTGTAGAAGGTGCTACAAATAAAAAGCCAGCAAAACAGCCAAAATTAAGCAATTAGTAGTTTAATTTGTGAAACGCCAGTCTGTGAAAATTGATTATATTTGCTACTAGCAGCTTCACACCAAATTTTCTGTGAATCAAACATGAGACCATGCTATACTGATTGAATTTACATTTGTAAAGTTTTTTTTTTTTTTAAAGAAATTAATGTTTTTATTCAGCAATGATGCATTAAATTGATCAAAAGTGACAGTGAAGACTTTACATTGTTACCAAAAAATATATATTTTAAATTGTTATAATATTTCACAATTTTAATACTGTTTTGATCAATTAAATACAGGATTGGTGAGCATAAGAGACTTTCATTATGGGGTTTTCACATTTAATTTTCTGAAAAACCTGCCTTTTAACTTTATCAGTTGTTTGATTCACATTTTTACCACCAAAACAACTATTAATAGGACATATTTTTTCAAATTTGGCAGTTTGTTCATTGAAGTTTTACTCAGTAATTCATAAAAGTTGTTATAGATTAATTATTATTGGAAAAAACATGTATTTTCATTTGTTTTCTCTATTTTAAAGTTTGAAGTTAACCAACCTTTTTCTAAATTCAGTCTTTAATATGGTAGGCCATTGTGCCTCCTGCTGTGTCACTGATTGCTCACATCACAGTTATTATGCTATTGCAAACCTCCTAATTGCACATTGTTAAAAGAAGAAAGAACTATCTCCTCTTACCTCAAACCCAGACCAATCAGATGAGAGAGAGAGGGTAAAGATCAGAACACGAGGTCATTCGCTGATTTGAGTCGAGCATGATATGGGTGCTTGTTGCTCTCATTTTGGATTTTCTAACCTAAATTTTTACTGCATTTTTACTATTACAGCTGCTGAGATAAACTAATTGTGGAAAGTGCTGATGCATCATTGTGCATCATTGATAATAACTGGATTTTTGGCAACAGTGCAGAGCTCAAGTCACTGATAGACTTGTGCTGAACTTAATTGAAGCTGAATGTAATTGCAGTGTTATTTTAGTATAACGGATGTAATCTTAATTTAATTCACATTTATCTGCATATACATTTTAACATGAAAGTTTATGCATAATGCATTATAAACTATAGTGAACAACTGTCTATTTATAAAACTACTTTATACCATGGTCTGTCTGAATACTCAATTCTGATTGGCTGACAGGTATGCATTAAAACCGTTTAATACACAGGTAGTTCCAAGTCAGTTTAATCACTGTTCTATATTAAAGAGCTGCTTTAATTGATGCACACAAAACCACAGAGAGAGAGAGAGAGGTCGGATATTAAAGATAGCGCTGCACACACAGAAACTTGTTGTCAGCGCTGCCCCGCAACTTGTATTAATAAAATAGCCTGGATACTGAATAGCTACATTATATTCCTCAGCAACGAGGTGGTAAAATCGCTGTTTTTGTAGTAACTTAAACACAGCTTCATTGTTTGTAGAGAGATGTGCAGATGCCAGTAATGCACACACAACTGTCATCTCTCTCTCTCTCTTTCGATTGATCAATCAATGCTATAATTCATTCAAATAAATGTGATCTTACTATTTCGTCTCTGTGTCTGATTTGAAGCGGGCAGAATGCTGGCGCTAACGAGCTGTAGGCCTAACTGATTAAATAACCGTCATTTTTACACTTTCGGTCAAATATTGCACTGCAAACATCATTAACAGCTTTAACTTTTCAGTGCTGGCAAATTACCATGGTATAACCTAATGCGATAATGCATGGCTAGCTTTGCATTAAACGATTTTAATGCACTTTGCAGAGGCAACCACTTGGCCTCCACATGGTGCATTAAAATCATTTAATGCTAGCCATGCATTATCCCTTACTTAAACAAGGTTAATGATTCATTAAGATGCTGAAAAGTTATATTGTTGGAAGTGTTCACTTATTGCTCAAATTATTGTTATTATTCATATTATTCATAATGCACAAACTAATTGTAAAATCCAAATATATTATTAAACCAGCTGGGAGTAATTTTCTACCGTCAAATTCGCACAGATGTAACCAGTTGTAGTTCATCACATTAAATATGGACGTTTCACTAATGTGTGGCATCAGAATGAGTCGAATTACTTATATAATTGACAATATCAGAATATTTGTCTGTGTTACTGTGTGCTCTTTGTTTGTTGTTGTTTTTTTTTTTTTTTAACTTTTTTTCACTTTCCCTTGTTCTCTACAGAGAGAAGTACTTACCCACTTTGCTGCAGATAGAGGTGATGCTAAAGCTTTGGTTCCCTCAAGTGACCGCTCAAGTTTCTGTGACACCTAACCCTGCTGACCTTTCACCTCAAAACATTTCCACCCATGGCAGCAGCAATATCACTCCCCCACACAAGCACAAAGACCAATTACATATTCCAGTCAAGGTTAGAGATGCACACAAGAGACACAGCATATTATCTGGTGCGCTCCATTTTATACTGTGTGATTTTGTAGACATTGATGCCCTTTTTTATTCTCTCTTGGCTCTTGCAGAAGCGAAGATTGAGCTGGTCAGACACAGATTCACCCTCCTCTTCTCCTCTCATGGTGTGTAAAAGCTCCAAACTAGAATGTTGTGAAGAGCAACATCAGTGGCCATATGTTGATGGAGGGGAGGGCTCTTCAGAGACTCCTCCCCTTTTATCAAACGAGAACAAATCAGACAAGCAATTTGGTGAAACCCTGGAGCACAAGGTTATCCGGTGGTCAGGTTCAAGACTAACATGGGTGCACATTGCGCCCATTTTCTCCCCACCTAAATCTGGTCCCTCTCATAAAGGCGGAATGGCAAAAGAAAGAGGAAGCAGAAATGTCCTCCTTCCAATTTCCCCTCTCACCAGCAGGAGCAGTCCAGCCATGCAGGACAGCTTTGTCTCTTCCACTACACCTTTTTCTGAGCCGACTAGATACCAGTGCCAGTCTGTGAGTTTAGGGACAACAAGTCCATTGCAGGAGTATGCCCAAACTCCACCAATCACAATGAAGCCTTCAAACCTTGTACAGGAAAGCACTATACAAACCTGATGCAAAAAAGCACAACCAGCTGAAAGTCTTCTCAGTGTCAGAGAAGAATTGAAGTATAGGATGTTGAAAGTTTTGAAGGTTGTATATTGCAATGATTGCAAAAGAATTATATTAAAAAAAAAAAAACTTTGAGAACTCAACATGTAAGATTTGAATTTTATATTGATTGGGTTGAAAATTTGGCTCTTTTGAAATTGAAACGATAGTACCTAAATTTAAGGTGAAGTAGTCAGTCAAACAGATAGCCCTGCCCCAAAATCTTGACATTGGTTGAGCCAGTGCTGTGTTGTGCTGGACGAGATGCTTAAACGCGTCCAACAGAGACACAGTTTTTACATGACAGTAAACATCCAAAAAATTACGCATTTCACCTTTAAGGAAATGTGATATCGCTTGTGGATGTGCTGTGCCCTCAAAAGTGTGTTTAAATCTGAGGGAAATTCTAGTCATTGACTATGCTTTAATCCTAAAACAAGTTTGAATTAAGAGCAATAATTTTAATGAAAAGTTAACACAAGCTCAAGTCAGTGGTAGGACTTGGCATTTGAAAATATACCATTAAGTTAGCATAAAATAAAAGGTTTAGTTTTTTTTAGCTACTGAGAATGCTGAGAATTACATTTGTTTTAATTACAGTTTGAAAAAGCAGCCAGTAGACAACACAATGCTGGTGTGCAAGGTCCTTTTTGTAGCTCTGAGGAAAAATGTAGCAGCAGCATAACTGACTTTTCAATATCTGATATATTATGAATTTATGTGTGTGTGTGTGTGCTGGCAGTGGTGGGTTTCTAAATGAAAATTAACCACTTTATTTATTTGCTGTAGAATCTTTGTCACACATCAAGCTGGAAGAACTAACCACAACTACTATACACATGATGTTAGCATGTCTAAATGAGTAATGTCAGATGGTCCGTGATGGAATATGACCAGTGGCTAATGGTGATTCTCAACATCATATTATGTAGGAAATTATGTAATACCCAGGTTGAAACTTTTTTTTTTTTTTTTTGATGTGAAACCTCCTACTCTCACAGATGAGAATTTAAGTGCTTAAATGAGGCAGTTGAGTGATATTAGACATCTAAACAAGGGTCAAATGTCAGAAATAAGGAGGACAAAACCATCATAAATAGTGCTAATATGCCAACCTTTATTTATTCACTTGTTGATTTCAACATTTATTTATGATTATTTGTATATGTATTTATTATTATGGCAGCTGAGGTCATGGAGGATTTATTCATATGGCAGGTTTTTGTCATGGAATTGCTGTGTGGAAAATGAAAAAAAAAAAGTGAAGGAAATCTGAAATTGGGAAACCTGTGCCTTTTCTCTAGAAACGATATGTATATTCTTATTCATATTCGTATTTGTTAATTGTGTATTTTTATCAGATGGTACAGAACACTAAATCTCAAAACTTCATGAGAAAACTGCATTTGGATACAGTAACAATTTACCACTAACTGCACAGTGAAGTACAGTAATTAGTATAACCAAGAACAAATATGTCAATGTGAACTGGTCATAGATATTTTCTGTATTTTCTGACCAGTCACTGCACGCAGTTGTGGTACATCCAGGAACCACCAAATTTCTTGGGTCAGTATTTTTGGAGCAGACGAATTATAATGTTAAAATGCACTTATGCGTCAATTAATTTCTAAAAAAGAAAGAAAACTGATTTTCTGTGGCTGTAAACAATGTAATGAGGGACAAAAAATTGCACAATTTCACATGCTGCTAAATTATTGATTTAAAATAAAAAAGATATTAATTGCTTAGAGTCCAGGTGCCCTTAGCAATAGAAATTTTTACCATGTTAAAACTCAGAACTGATATCTGTGTCAGCTTTATTATATGTAATTGACTTTTTTACATAATGATTTTGTAGAAATTGGTTGCACTTATTTTAATTTTATTTTGTCATGTTTTATACTGTATTGGTTGTTTAAGACCAAGAGCATTGATCATAAAGGATGTATAATGGTTGTTTTAATCTGTCTTTTTTTATAAAACTGTTGTACCACTCTGCACACTGGAAATCTTTCTACCGTCTGTCCTTCTTTCCAGTCTCTATGTCACCTATATTTTATTTATATAGTGCTTTATACAAAACAGATTGTTAAAGCAGTTTTTTCGCTCTGTCTTTCACCTGTTTTTCCCTTTCATCCCATATGTTTATTCTTCTTATCTTCTCTGCTTTTTACTGTTATTCATGTTTTTTCAACAAAGACAAGCATTTTAATAAACTGTGCATTTTGTATGTACTATTTGACTATGTTCTGTTTTAGTGTTGTGTATGTATACTGTATGTGTAGTCTTGTGTGTTAGGCAAGGTTTATAATGTGCACTTGTGTTTTGGAGATTCTGTCTGTGTATATTTAGAGTACAGATGTTTGTACTGTGGCAGTGTTCTATAGTCACCTTTATTTATATAGCGCTTTTAACAATACAGATTGTGCCAAAGCAACTGTACAGCATTAATTAGGAAAATAATTAATGTGTCAAAAATGTAAAATTACAATGGTAAACACTCAATTTTCAGTTAAAGGCAGTTCATCACTGAATTCAGTGATGTCATCATCCAGCTCAGTTCAGGTTAAATAGTATCTGTGCAATCAAGTCAACGATATCGCTGGAAATTAAGTGTCCCCAACTAAGCAAGCCAGAGGCGACAGCGGCAAGGTACCAAAACTCCATCGGTGACCGAATGGAGAAAAAACCTCAGTCGGGGGGCCAGTTCTCAGATGCCATTCTTCTAACGATGTACCAAGTACATCGGGTGTTATGGGAAGTGTTCCCGGTTCCGGTTGACCTAATTAATGCAGCCTAACGATATGATACCTCTTCATTCACTGCTACGAATTGATGGCGGTCAGATAAGTATGATTTGAACCATGCAAATGCACTTCCATTAATGCCAACGAAGTTTTCTAGTCTTTTCAAAAAATGTTGTGGTCAATAGTGTCGAACGCAGCGCTAAGATCCAGTAGCACTAATCAGAATCAGAAAGAGCTTTAGAGAGATACAACCACTATCAGATGATAAGAGCAGGTCATGTGTAACTCTAAGGAGAGCAGTCTCAGTACTATGATATGGTCTAAATCCTGACTGGAAATCCTCACAAATACCACTATTCTCTAAGAAAGAACATAGTTGTGAGGAGACTACCTTTTCTAGTATCTTTGACAGAAACCATTTTTCTCTAAGAAGGAATATAATTGTGAGTATACTACCTTTTCTAGTATCTTGGACAGAAAAGGGAGATTTGAGATCGGTCTGTAATTAACTAGTTCTTTGGGGTCAAGTTGAGGTTTGTTTGATGAGAGGCTTAATAACAGTCAGTTTGAAGTTTTTGGGGACATTTCCTAATGACAATGATGAATTAATAATAGTCAGAAGAGGAGGGATATGGTACTTTCCCGCCAAGCAATACGAAATACCTCTATTTCTGTTTTCCTCCAGCTGCGCTCCATTTTCCGGGCTGCTCTCTGTAGGGTGCGAGTGTGCTCATTATACCACGGTGTCAGACTGTTTTCCTTAATCTTCCTTAGGAGTAAAGGAGCAACCGTATCTAAAATGCTAGAAAAGAGAGAGTCCATAGTTTCTGTTACATCAAGTTGTTCTGAGGTTTTGGAAATGCTAAGGAATTGGGATAAATCAGGAAGATTATATACTTGAAGCCCGCCCTCTGAGAAATACTGAAAATATTGTAATAAATTGAAGCAATACCTCCCCCTTTACCTTTTGGAAGTGGCTAATGTTTATAGCAGTAATCTTGGGGGGTAGACTCATTTAAAATAATGTAATCATCATGTGAGGATTTACAGGATGGCTCGTCGCCTCCTGTTTTGGGCACAGAAAGAACTCCCCTCGTTAAGGGCGGTTCATGTGCCGGGCAGATTGAACCTTGGAGCAGACATGCTGTCCAGAGGCAAAGTAGCCCCGGGCGAATGGGCACTACATCCTCAAACGGTTCAAGAGATCTGGTCAGTCTTCGGGAGGGCAGAGGTCGACCTCTTCGCCTCAGAAGACAACTCTCACTGCCCAATATACTTCTCGACACAGCAAGATGCTCTGGCCCACGACTGGCCCAGTGCTCGCCTATATGCGTTTCCCCCGATCGCCCTAATTCCTTAGGTTGTCAGACGGGTTGAGAATCGGAGAATCACTCATCAAAGTAGAGGTCTGCGCAGGACTTAGTCCCGCTCACGCAAGGTTATATTCCGCACCCACCCGCTCCCGCTATATATTCACTCTTTGTTCACCCGCTGTCCGCTTAGAATAATTTTCTTTCCGACCCGACCGTTCCCGCTAAATTTAGATCTCGTTTCCACATTTAAATTTCACATTTAAATTTCTGCTACTGAAAGAAAGAGAGATAGGCTAACAAATAAAAGTGTAGTCTGCACAAAACTGTATGTTATTTTATTCGTTTTGTCAAGAGTCTTGAATTTATTGACTTTGACTTGAATTTATATGAATTATCTTAAGATATTTAATATTTTATGCAACACCGTAGGAAAAAAGTGTCAGAGAAAATAAAAACGTTGTACAAAAATTTTATTTCTTATTTTTATTCATCTTGTCAGGATACAATTCGTTTAACATTGACAACACAATAGGGAAAAAGTGTCGCAGAGAGAAAAAAAATTAAAATGTAGGTTGTACAAAAATAGCCCATTAGCTTTTTTTATTCGTCTTGTCAAAATACAAAATTCGTTT